GTTTGAGGTTTGAGTCCGGAAAGTGTGGGAGAGCATCCACGAGCATGTCTATCATTCTTTTCGACTGCACTTTTGGTACTTCTTTTCAAAATTTCCTCCCTTCCTTTATTCCCAACCCTCGCGCGTACACGTATTTCATAATTTGCATTTCGCGCATGTAGCGTATTATTATACACCTCTATAACGTACGAGGTACGGTAGCTAATTAGAAGTTAAATTACTATGACGGCTCCGCGGTGCACCAGCCGCACCAGCCGACATCGACAGTGCCGACACCGTCCACTGCTCGTTGGAGGTTAGGTCCTCGGATCGGGGTGAGGAGAAACGTTCGCGACTGTGGTTCGGCCTCACGCGAGCGCATCCGTTTGTCAGCCGGGATCTGACTGCATGGGGATTACGTGGTACCCGAATATTATCTGAAACATGGACTCGCCACCGAACCTGGAGACCGTTTACCAGGCCGTGTTCTCTTTATATAACAATACAAATCCGGCCGAGCCAGGAAAAGCGTCACTATGGCTGGGAGAATTGCAGAAATCGGTGAGCACACGTTCGTTTTAATATCGTTAAATGTTCAACTTTCCTCTCGTGTCTCTTCCTAGATTCGATCGTTCGCATTCTGACGTCGAACGCGAGCGTGCCTCTCGCTACGTTGACGGCGTCGTGAGTCAAAAATATGGGAAGCCGCTTTCCAATCCTTTCTAACCTCAATGGGAAGGGTTATCACCCTGTCATAAAGAATATATTTTACAAGTCACTTTGTAAAATGAGCAAATTAAATTAAACGTGAAACTAGTAATTTGTACTTCTTTACTCGCGTTTCTTGCCTATGAGATTTGATCGATATATCTCGTTGTGTCGACTATTTGATTAGTTATTATATTTATAATATATATAACGTTCTGTAGCTTCAAGGAAAAAATTATTGATCATATTTTAAGCTTCATAATGAAGAATTTGTTACTTGTACATCTTTCTTCATGTATGTGTATTTCTATAGGTATTCGCATGGAAAATAGCAGATGAGATGTTACATCAAAAACGAAACATGGAATCTTGTTATTTTGCTGCACAAACAATGCGCACCAAGATCCAGCTCTCCTTCCATGAGTTACCCCAAGAAGCTCACACTTCATTGCGAGATTCATTAATGGAACATATATCGCAAATCAATGAACACACTAATTCTGCCATTGTTACTCAGGTATTTATATACATTCCTCGATAAAACTACTTTCATATGTTTTAAATCGTTATTCAATCCTTATTAATGGTGTTAAATTTTCACGCTTACAGTTATGCCTAGCTCTAACAGATCTGGCTCTACAAATGTCCTCCTGGCAGAAACCAGTGATAGATTTAATTAATAGGTTTGGAGGAAACACCGCGCATCTATGGCCGCTACTTGAAATAATGACGGTATTTCCAGAAGAAGTAAATTCAAGATCACTTAGGTATAGCGCGATATCTTGTTGCTTATTTGGTGTCACAAAGTGACAATCGAAACAATTAAATGTTTTAAATTTTACTTTTTGTTTACAGGTTGGGTGCTAATCATAGACAGCATATATTACATGAACTCAATACAAATGCAGATACCGTGACGGAATTTCTGGTATGTTATTCCTGATATAGATTCTAATTCGCGTTTCTACTTCTTTATTCACAACTTTCAACTCTCCACCTGATCTCTTATAAACTATAAATTGATAAATGAAAACACTTTCGCATAGAATTATGCGTTATCCTATAATTATATATTTTCATAAATATATAAAATTACTTGAAATTTATACACAATCATATACGTACGCACATTCTATTTTAACATTGGTATTTCATATATAGTGTAATTGCAGAAAATGTGCCTAAAAAACAGCGGAGATAATTTACAAATCCAAATCACTATTTTGCGATGTTTTACCAGCTGGATAACCGTTCATGCAATACCACTTAAAGCTGTACCCTCGAGCGAGGTAGTCGTTTATGCTTTACAAGTGAGTCTTTTGAAACTGATAAAATGTTTTCGGAAGAGCCAATTCCCTTCTATCCTTTATCGTATGGTTCTACTTTCCAGGTACTCAGCAATCATATGGCTGTTTCACAACTTCACGAAACGGCTACTGACTGCATCTGCGTAATTTTGCAAGTGTTAGGGGAAGATAGCAATACCAATCGTGGTAGTGACAACGAAACGAGCGTGCAGTTGCAGCAATTGCAATTGTGTCTTTTCACAAGTGTAATGAATTTAGAACAACCATATCATCTATCTGTTGCGCACGAGGACATGGAAAAGTAAATTATTTAGTTTACTTAAGTATGTTTGTGTAGCATAAACCCCTAGTCATTAAATATATTGCAGATCTATAAGTTATTGTCGAATATTCACGGAACTGGCCGAGACGTTTCTAGATACTATAGTGACAGGTAGCGGAGATGGAAAGCAGCATTATGCCATAAAAATTTTAGATCTTGTCCTTACATGTGTTGGTCATCATGATTATGAGGTATTTAAAAAAAAAAAAATATATATATATATATGTCGATTTATTATTATATAAATTAGTATTGTGGTTACTGATTAAATAATATCTTTTTCTAAGGTTGCACAGATCACTTTTAACCTGTGGTATCGACTATCAGAAATTCTTTACCAGAAAAATAGCGATGATCTTAATACCATATTCCGACCTCATATTGAGAGACTGATTGGTGCCCTTTGCAGGCATTGTCAAATGGAACCAGATCATGTCAGTATATTTGCTATCAAGATTTTATTAAATAATGTCTTACAGGCAATAGAATGATTACTAGAATTATGTATTAATTACCAGTTGGGTCTCGTGGAAGAAGGAGGAGGAGGAGAAGAGTTTGCTGACTTCCGAAATCGCGTATCGGATTTGATAAAAGATGTGGTGTTCGTGGTCGGGAGTAGCCACTGTTTCCGACAAATGTTTTCGTCATTGACCGGAGGACCTGGCCCGCAAGGTCAATCTGTACATCCACCTACTTGGGACTCGAGCGAAGCTGCGCTTTTTATAATGCAGGCGGTGGCAAAAAATATTCTACCGTACGTTGTCTATTCATTATGAAACAAAGTATTTAAATACCAAATATAACGAGTTTTTGTATAACAGAGAAGAAAATGACGTCGTTCCGAAAGTGGTGGAAGCTATTCTTAATTTGCCGGAAAACACTCATATAGCCGTACGCTATACCAGTATTCTCCTGTTAGGCGAACTATGTGAGTGGGTAGATAGGCATCCGCAATCATTAGGTAAAACTTCAATAAACACTTCGGATTCATTAATTCAGGTAACAATTCATCAAATTCAATGACAATCAAATGTATTTTTTTATTTCAGAACCAGTTTTAAATTTTCTCTTAGACTGTTTAAATCAAAAAGGTTTAGGAAGTGCCGCTTCGGGTGCATTATTATGTATATGTTCAGCTTGTCAAGTGCATATGACAACGCACTTTTCTGGACTCTTGCAAATAGCACGTTCTCTCGACAATTTTGCTATTAGTAATGACGCAGCTATTGGCCTACTAAAAGGTTGGATACAATTTTATGGGCTACATTATTTACGTTATTATTAAAAATTATGTACGCGATTGTGAAATATACATAATCTTATTATGTATTCATTTAATTTTTTACAAATAAACTAAATGAAAAGTGTTAATTGTCATGACAGGGGTGTCGATAATTTTGGGGAGATTACCACAGGAGGAAATTGCTCCGGCAATGAGAGAATTGTGCTGCTTTCAAGCAAGTTCCCTGTGGGCACTTCTGGCGGATGGAGTTCAAATCGAGAGAGGAACAAAGACTGATCCTGTGATATGGCTGGATAGATTAGCCGCTATATTTAAATATACTAATCCTCAAATCTTTGATGACCCTCATCCTTGTCAACCTGTAGTCACTGAAGTGAGTGTTCAAAAATCAAAAGCCTGATTTAGCCTGATTCTTAACGCTAATGACATTTATCGTGCATATTTGTAGATGTGGCCTGTATTGTCAAATGTATGTGAAACATATCAACGAGACGTAAGAGTCATAGAGAGATGTTGCCGTTGCATACGTTTTGCGGTGCGCTGTGTGGGCAATCAGTCTGCCCATTTGCTCGAACCAATTGTGAAACAAGTAATGATTACCGAACGAATAATAACGAATATTTAACATTCTAATTATATCGTTATTAATGCACTTATTTTAAAAAAATATATATTATATATAATTTTTTTTCACAGATTGTACCGTTGTACACGGTACATAAACATAGTTGCTTCTTGTATCTTGGCTCTATATTGGTGGATGAATATGCGACCGAGACGGAATGTGTATGGCATCTGGTAAATATGTTACAAGCTTTCATTGCCCCCACATTCGCCCTTCTTGAACAAGAAGACGGTTTGAAAAATCATCCGGATACGGTGGATGACCTATTCAGATTGTGTGCCAGGTACAGCAATGGTTAATTAATATTATCAATTGACATATTTTTATTGAAATGATGTCTGATGTTTCGTTCTTTTTACACAAAAGGTTTCTTCAAAGGGCTCCTATTCCTTTATTACATTCTCCTGTAATGGGGAGCATTGTAGATTGTGCTATAATGGCTTGCAGTTTGGATCATAGGGACGCCAATAGTTCAGTAATGAAATTCTTTTATGATCTTATACATAGTGGTCGCACTTGTAAGGTAATTCTTCGTTAAACTTTTATTTAAGTGAACATTAAAATAAAATCCTTCTAATGTATGTATAATTTACATAGATTAGCTCTATACATGTATTCTGTTTTTTTGTTTTTCAGGAGGAATCAAACTACACGATACGACGACAATTGGTACAAAATATATTGCAAGAAAAAGGTCAAACATTAGTCATAAAATTACTACATGCTTCGGTGTTTGATCTGTCTTCTTACATGCAGTCTGATGTGGCGGATGTCATGATAGAACTTAAACGAAGCGATACAGACGTATGTATTGTAGTTTCTATTATATATTTCGCATTTTACGTAGAGAAATCATATCTAACATATCTTATATTTTCTATCAGCTCCTGTCAAAATGGCTGGAAGAAGCTATCAAAACAATGCCGTCGCAAAACGCAGGCGGAGCTCCTACAGCAACACCTGAGCAACTACTTGAATTTCATAGTGCAGTCACGAGGTATATAACTTACAATTTCATATCAGTAAACAATATCAGAAAAATTCGTAGCGATTTTTACGGAAAAATCAAACAATGTTTATATATTTATATGTTTATATTTGTTTATAAATTATGAACGATCGATTTAATTATCTACTTACTCATTGGAGATTGCTATGAATTTTTCAAGCAACTCGCAGAACTTAATTGATTAATATATTTCTGTTTTTGTTTTTTTTACGATATTTAGGTCTGAACATACGAGAATCGTCGCAAATGCTCTACGAGATTTCGCGCGTCTGTATCGCTAATGCATTTTAATTGTATATTGATTATACTAAATTCCTCAAAAATTATTCATAAGATCTTCCAGCAAGTTTCGATTGTGACATCTTGAAACAACAAAATTTGCTATGGTCTCGCTGTACAAATATATTAGGAAAAAAAGTACCAACATTTTTTTATGTTCTTACTATCTATAGTTATGTTTGCAAACTACACATGTACATGTATATGTATATGTATGTATTGTATGTGGATAAAGGTGACTTTTATAAATAATGTATCACAAAATTCTTTATTTTTTCTCATATATTTATTTTTAACAATTTTCTTTGTTATATATATACATTTTTATATTAGAATCACATCTGTATATTAGTATTTATTATTAGAAACAAATATTAATACATAAGAAAAAAAGGAAATATTTTTTTTATTTCAATATATTAATGAATTTCGAACACAATTTTAAACAGAACATAGAAATTAGATACTTTTTGCAGACATACTATAAATAGTAAACTTATAGAATCCCTTAAGACGTTGTATATGTGTTAAAGATTTTTTTATAAATTAACTGGATTATACCGAACCTCATATTTGTGCATGGAATATATTATTTTAAAAAATGATAAATTTTTTTAATGTTTTGATAGCTATTCGAGTATACTTACTAATTTACTCAATGCAAAAAAATATTGAAATTCCAAAATGTGAACGTAATTAATGACGATTGTTTAATTGACAGCTTAATTGATGTGCAGAGCACACTGAGAGTTAAAGTAATTTTTAGTTAGCCATTTATAAATACATTATGATATCCAATTCATATAAAAACAATATGACTTTTGATAAATCACGTGCACAAGTTTTAATTAAGAGAGAAGTTCTAGGTGCAAAAGTTGATCATATCCGACACATCAGCCGTTATTTTTTAATTAATGTTGTAAAACATTAGGCATATATTTTTAAATTGAATAATAATTACTACTTATTCAGTTTTGTAAGACTAGCTAATTTCTGATTTGTATATTGTAGTATCATAGCAAAGGAAATTTTCTTACAGTTGTATCGATATACGTGAATACTATTCGCATTACATTAAAAAAAAAACTTTAGAAATTTATACAAGTTTTTTCCATGTTTACATATATAAAATATATCTCTAGTAGGTATATATTTTAAGTATATTCTACATAAATAATTATGCAAGATAACGATGGATACAAGTAGCAAAAACCTTGCTGTGTTACTGTAATAAGTCTACGAAAAATTATGATTATACAATTATCTCTAAATGAGTATGATATAATTGTTATTGTCTAGCTTGATGCTGAATTTAATGTTTTAAGTGTACAGATATACAGCTATAAGATATCGCTTTTTCTTTGTGGAGCGTTAATGTACAGAACGAAATGCTTGCGGTTAAGGATAAGGAACGATAGGAAACGAGAATTTCTATTGTACGTACGATATAACGCATCGATGTCAAAGCTCGTTCAACCTCGACGGTATTCCTCACGAGTACTGTACGATGTAGCATTTATGCCGAGCGCTAATCGTTCATTTTGTTTCATAGTAACGGAAAACCTTCGACGAAATCTCGAATAAAGTGATATTTTTTAACGAAACGTAACATCGTCTTTCAGTTATAGAAGACACGATAATCTCGGGCGAGCTCCCGAGAAAAAAAAATAGTGACCGGGGAGAAGCAGAGTTTTCGCCGTCGTCGTGTTGGGTCGACCGGGGGATCAACTGACGCGATAACGCCTCGTCCTGATTGCGGAAGATGTGTCGGGGACAAAAAAAATCTGTTTTTAAAGCCGCCAGCTGCGCGATGCACCGTTCTCGTTCGAGCGACGCGATCGGTGCGTTCTCGGCCGCAAGGTGAGCCGAAGATATTTGAGTTGCCGAGGGGGAAAACATGCAGGTGCCGCGCGTTCGACATCGCCGTCGGCTTTTTCTTTTCGCGAGGTGGTCCATATTATCGTATCGATGCGAAACGCCCCTAAAAATCTGCCCACTTCGTCCCCGGCGAACGTCTCTATTTTTGAAATTACGTATATGACAATTGATCGTCCAATGAATATTTTATGAAGCTGAAATCTTTCGTGGTACCGTTTGGTCCTTTGGAAAATACAATAATACAAATATAGACAACGAGAAATTCCTGGACACGTTTCGACGCTATCTTATTTGTATAGCTCTTTTTTTCAAGCGAGAGGCAATAAAGTAGGTAAGAGCCGAGTGGTATCCTTCCCGGAAAGCGGACCGTCCCGTGTCGGCAGAAAATTCCGGTTGCACGCGTCCGATTCGGGATATGGGATATCGCCGAGAACGACCGTTTCGAGAGATTCTAGCGGACAGCGTCGCATCGGCTGCAGGTTCGGATGCCGCGTCCTCCGTCCAGGACATTGCTGGCGGTCCCGGTGCCTGAGTCACTCGGCTCGGATGCTCGGATCGCGTTATGACTCAGACGCGGACGGGCGTTATTGGCTAAGGAATTGGTTTCTAACAAAGGAATGTTGTTGCAAGCGGGACGAGCACACAGCCGGGCGCTTGACGCGTCGTCTTCGCGTCGCTTTCTCCGCTCGCCCGTCGCTCCGAGCGAATAATTACGAGGTTTCGAGTGATTATCGCGGTCCTTTCCCATGTATCATTTACATTTTTCAGCATATCATCGTGAATGACTGATGTAGAAACTTTTCGCATAGAGATTTATTATACGTGTTATTTAATTATTATTAATTTGGCTGCTCCACGTGAATGAGTCACGCATCACGCCGCGTCAAATTTAACGCGAATCCCCGCGTGCGTATTAACGTGCGATTACTCACGTCGACACGTCGACGAGTACCTATTCCGAAACCGTTCCGGAGCGAATGTCCACGCGTGCGTCACGCAGCGTGTGACGACGACGGCTATCGACGCCCACTTGATACACATGCGTGTGTATCGTCAGCGTCGTCGTCGTCGTCGTCTATCAACAAAGGACCCCACTTGCGGGCATTGACGGCCAGCGCGTACATACGTGCGCACATATATATCGACAAACCGTATATCTTACATTAACATTGCCGCGGTACCATTCACGGCTTTCCACGGCGCGAATGCGCGCGTTGCGTGCGAGCCGCAATGACGTCCGGCCAGAAAGACAGAGAAAGAGAGAAGGAGAGAGAAGAGGGAACGAGAGAACAGGGGAAACACGAAAGGAGGATAGGTAGGTAAGCGGTTAGCGAGAAAACCATTTTTCCGGAATGTCCGGCCGCTTCGGAGAGCCGTGACTTCACCCGCATGCAGTATCCTGTCTTAAAAGGGACGGACGTTTGTAACAAAGAAGGAAAAGGAGACAAAAGGGAGAACGAGAGCTTCGCCCACGCGGTCTGCAAATTCCGCACAAAAGCGGACAAAAGCTGCGCTTACACCCTTAACGGCACGCAGAGGAGCGTCGGCGTCGTCTACCTGCGTCTCCTGCGTTCTGCGTCTTCGAACTCTTCGAAGCCAAGGTCTGCTGGTTCGTAAATTTACGAACGTGGATACATATATGAAGGAGAAGAAGGAGCTGTTAAATAATATGCAGCAAAGTAATAATGATAACGCTACGCTGTTAAATTATACTCAATTTGAGTTATTTTAAACCATTCCTATATAGGTCGCCACTGCTCTCACTCAATATATCGTTTTAATTTAACTAAACCAAATAATAAATTTCGACACGCATGGTAGTTAAAAATAACAAAATGTTATTTAACTCTAGGTATTGGTTTAAATTTCCTCTTTTACTATTTAACAGAGGGTATCACGTGTTTGCTCTGTATGACAATATGTGACAATATACCGCCGCGGAATCGAGTGGGTGGAATCGCGCGCAATTAACGGCCGTATCACGATCGACAAGCTGGAAAGAGTTGTTTTTCGGCTCCAGCGGCTGGAATTACGTTGCTCCCGCATAACTATAAATACCGTTGTCATGTCGCCTGTGAAATGTAAGCGGAGGAAATGTTAGAGGACGCGAGTTCCCTCTGCCCTTTCCGCATCCATGCCCGTCGAGCGACCATAGAGCATGGTGACAGGAAGGGAAGAGAGAAACAGCCCATGGCTCTTCCGTCGTTGCTAATGCAAGCAATTATTTTTCGTGAGTCTCGACACGTCCGTAATCTCTCTCTCTCTCTCCCTCCCTGCCTTCCTCCGTGGTACGCAACGACCGTACCAGGAAGAATTAAGATCCGCCGAGTGCCAATCCTCTCCTCCTTCGCTCACAAGCCCTTCCTCGCCCCTGTCCCTTTGTGCGCTCCCGACCGATACTCGAAGCAATTTTGCAGAAGAGACCGGAGCCCTCCCAAGTGTTCGGTCTTCCGCACAAAGGAGCGACCCCGTTACATTCCCTTCGCCGCGAACACGTCTTCAGTGATCCTCCGTCGTCTCCTTTTGTCTCCTTGCCGGTGCGAAAGGATCGTGCGAGCGCGATCGTATCCGTTCGACTAATTGACCGGTTTAACCAATTACGAAAGCCCTCCTCTCCCGCCCTTCCCTACCCCTTTAATTGAATCGCCATGATATTTGCGTCTGAGTCAATGTCGGCTGCGAATGACTCACGGCGGCAGATCGTTGACGTGTCGCTGACGCGTTGCGCGTCAAGGTGTCACTCCTCCACTTAGCTAATTAATCATTAATACACATGCACTTAAGAATATATAATCTAATTCTAGATAACGATTATTGCAGAGAATTAATATGATTATAAAAAAAGAAGATAATTTAATTATCTTTTTTATATGTTTCTTACGTTATCTTTCTTTTTATTATTTTATCTTGAATTTAATCATATTATTTTTACGCAATCGCACGAAGGAAGCGTTGAAAGCGGTCTCGTCCGAGTTAAAGTTAGCAGGCGTGGCTTTAGATAGCCTTTCCTTGCGGATATTGCCACATGTGGATCGTACAACAATCTTAAGATGATGCGCCAATTAAAGCGTATGTAGAACGGAGTTAAAGATAACCGCCTCATGCCGAGGATAGTTTCGTGACGTGTAATTAACGGGCAAAACCCCGAGTCGTTAAATTTAGATGGCACCGTTATCCTAGAATACTGCATTGACTTTTATCGCGCGTATTCAGGACGCTCGATAAGCCAGATCGGTCAGATCTTGTTCCTGGAGGCATTTGTCCAACGCGTCGAAAGTCGAAACGTATCTCGTATCGCAGCGACAACGAGAAAACGGTGACAAGATACCGTATGCGTGTAATCTTCTACGTGATAAAGGACTCGGAACATTAATCAT